GGGGGGGGGGGGGGGGGGGGGGGGGGGGGGGGGGGAGCAAGAGAGAGAGAGAGAGAGAGAGAGAGAGAGAGGGGGAGAGAGGAGTTGGGAGGTGTTGACATGTTAAACAATGAGGCTAGTGATTATCTGAGAAGCTAATAGTTGAGCAAAAATGTAAGAGGAGATAAATAATATCCAGATTACATAAAGAATTCCTGTAACTCAACAAAATGAACAACCAATTAAAAATAGGCAAAGGATCGAATAGACTTTCTCCAAAGAAGATGTACAAATAGCCAATCAGCTTCACACTAATCATTAGGAAAATGCAAATTAAACTACAATGAGGTAACACTTCGCACCCACTAGGATGGCTGGTCCCCCCCACAAAAAAAGCAAAACAAGAAATAACCAATGTTGACATCATTAGATGACCTGGAACCCTGGGCACTGCTGTGAGGTGGTGCAGCTGCTATGGAAACAGTGTGGAGGCTCCTCAAAAACTAAAAAGCAATGACCATGTGACCCAGCAATCCCACTCCCAAGCACAAACCCCAGAGGATGGACAGCAGGGGTCGGAGGAGACGTCACACACCATGTCACGGCGGCGTTAGTCACAGGTGCCCATCGACAGGCGAAGGGTGACCAGTGTGGTCTGTTCATGCAATGACGCGCTCAGCTCTGCAGAGGAAGGGGATTCCGACACCTGCTACCACGCGGATGAACTCCGAGGGCACCGCGCTAAGTGAAATAAGCCAGTCCCGGAAGGGCCAATATTCTGTGTGATTCCACTCCCATGAGGTGCCTGGAGAGTTACATTCAGAGAGACAGGAAGTAGGATGGTGGCTGCCAGGGCTGGGGAGAGGGGGGTGGGGCGTCTTGTTAAAGAAAACAAAAACAAAAGTGAGGAGAGTCAGAGTGTTTTGGGTGGGGCTTCCCCAGAAGCAGAGCTGAGACAAAACCCAAATGCAGACAGTCTCCCAGGGAGGGGACCCCGGGAGTGAAGAGCAGCTGGGAGGGAAGTCCGACAGGTGCGTGGGAGCGGATGGCGCGTGGGCAGTGGGGCTCAGCCTCCCTGGGGACCTCCGCCGAGGGATGCAGAGACAGACATTGACCCAGCAGCTCCCGTCTCCTCCTCCCACCTGCCTTGGCTGTGCGCTTCCTGGTGTTCGAGTGAGCACGTGTCCACAGGGTGCCTGTGCGTGTGCGTGCCCACGTGTGTCTGCGCGTGCCCATCTGTGCATGTGCACACATGTGTTATCTCTGTGTGTGCATGCATGTGTCTGGCCGCTTGTCGGAGTGTGGACGTGCTGGGGACTCTGCCGAGTCAGCGCTGTGCTGAGCGGCGGCACTGCCAGCCCGGCTGTGGCCTCCCCACAGTTGCATAAACACATCCCGCTCCCCTCAAGCAGGGAGGTCCAGCCTGCGGCCATGTGGCTGGCGGAAGGCGATGGGGGCTCAGGGATTGTCCTCCTTCAGCCTGGTCCCCTCCACACCCAAAGTGCCAGGTCAGATCTGTGAGGGGGGGGTTGGTCTGGGGTCTCTCCACGCCTCACTCCCCCCATCTGGCCTGGAGCCTGATCTCTGAGGTCCCAGTAAGGGGCAGGGATAGCCACCTCTCCAGGCCTGGGCCAGCCTGAGCCAGAGGGTCAGTGGGGCAGCTGGGGGCAGGGGACCAGGGACAGAGCTCTGCGTCAGGACCCCAGAACCAACTGCCCCTCCTCTGCTCTGACTTCCCTGCAGGGACGCCCCTGGCTCTCGGCAGCTCCACACCTGCATCCTCTCCCCAGACGCCATCCTCAGTGATACCGGTCCCTGCCCGGACAGGGGTCAGAGAGTGGGGAGCCCAGAAGGCCAGAAATTCAGGCCGAGGTAGAATGAGGTCAGAGGGTCAGGAAGAAATCAAGTGTTGGAGGAAGATCTTACCAGGTCACCAGAAGGAAAGAAATCAGACTGCAGGCAGGAGAAGCCAGACCCTCGGGCTCGGACCCTCAGCTGCAGGGTGGCGGGCAGAACGCTGATAAAGATCTTTATTTTCAAAATATATTTTATTGATGAGAGAGAGGAGGGAGAGAGGGAGAGAGAGAGAGAGAGAGAGAGAGAGCGAGGCTGACCCGCTGACTCCTGCACGCCTCCTACTAGGGATCAAGCCCCCAACCCGGGCATGTGCCCTGACTGGGAATCAAACCATGACCTCCTGGTTCATGGGCCTACGCTCAACCACTGAGCCACGCCGGCCGGGCTGGCAAAGATCTTAAGAGAAATCAGGGGTTGGAGTAAAAGGGTCCAAGCAATGAGTGTATGAAATGAGAGGGGGTGTGAGATGAGGAGGGAGGGAGGAGATGGGGCGAAAGAAATTGGGCCACAGTGTGACAGGCAGCCGTCCTGTTGCATGAGTGGGTGCTGGGGGGCGGTGCAGGATGGAGTGCCCTGCTGTTGGGTCTCAGGCCGAGGGATGGTCCGGAAGGTTGAGGGGAGGGGGAAGGGTGAGCTGCCTGGGTCCAGGGCAGCCGCACCCCAGGGCGCGTTGACCCAGTCACCTCAGAGAGCAGCAGGGAACCCCCAGACCGTGAACCGGGTGACCCAGCACAGCAGTGCCCCCTGGGGCTCTCCCAGTCCCTTCCACAAGCCCCAGGCCCGCCCGCGCTGAGTTTGGGGGTTACTTGTTCCTGCTTCCCAAAGCCACACAATCCTGGTTTGCCCAGATGCTGACAGAGCACAGCTGGAATGTGGAGTGTGTGTGAGGGCACGCGCGCACACGCGCGCACACGCGCGCACGCACACACACACGCACACACACACGCACACACACACGCACACACACACACGCACACGCACACACACACGCACACACACACGCACACACACACGCACACACACACACGCACACGCACACACACACGCACACACACACGCACACACACACGCACACACACACACGCACACGCACACACACACGCACACACACACGCACACACACACGCACACACACACACGCACACGCACACACACACGCACACACACACGCACACACACACGCACACACACACACGCACACGCACACACACACGCACACACACACGCACACACACACGCACACACACACACGCACACGCACACACACACGCACACACACACGCACACACACACGCACACACACACACGCACACGCACACACACACGCACACACACACGCACACACACACGCACACACACACACGCACACGCACACACACACGCACACACACACGCACACACACACGCACACACACACACGCACACGCACACACACACGCACACACACACGCACACACACACGCACACACACACACGCACACACACACACACACACACAAGAGGCTTCCCGGGGACCGCCCAGCAGGCCCCTCTGGTCTCAGCCGCCAGGGCCCCTGGGACGGGGCAGGGCCTAGGTCAGGGCTGGCCCTGCCTGGCCCTCCAGCCCAGCCTGGCTGAGGACACTCGAGGTGCCACCATTTTCTTCCCATCCTTGTTCCTTCCTGTCCTATGGGTCCAGGCACCTCATGATTGACTGAGGCATTGGTGAGAATGGCTG